GACCGTAGTATCCTCGCTCAATTTTCATTTGTTTCGATTAATTCGATGAAAATCCCATATTTTCGTTTTACAAATCATATGTTTGAACTATTGGTTCTGTTCTGCTCAAAGACACACGAGACTACAAAACAAAATTTAAAAACTGATTATGAATTGTGCATACGACTCAAAATCAAAACGGCATTTCTCGCTGGCATCACTGGAATTCCAATGTCACTAATGTTAATTTTGACGTCGGATGAGATGAATTATAAGTTTGGATTTTATTTATTGTAAGTCATTTCCGCATTCGCCCTTGAAACTTGTGAGTTTAACAGAACCACCAGCACCAAATTGTCGGGGTACACTGGCAATATACTGGAGTTGTCAAGTTGCCCCCGGGTTGGGCATCTCAGCCAGAGTAGAGTCGGTGTAATGAGTCACGCCAAGAGTGAAGCCAAGTCTACCTATTGAACTGTCAAACCGGCTACCTATCGTGCAAAGTAAACAAACATTACGATGCTATGAAAGGTATTGCAATAAAATATAAAATATAATGGTAGAAATGATCAGAAACACGCAGTGAGCAATAAATTGTCATGGGATACGTTTGATAATGATCACTTATGAGAGTTTCTACTATTTTTGGTTAAGATAATTTGACTAAATCACTGATATAATGATTTACTACAGCCGCTATTTTTTTTCTCGCTAGAAGTCATTTGAAGTTGATGTAGAAGTCCTCTGTTGCCAAGTGAAAAGAAAGGGAATCTTTCGAAAACCGTGATGCGAGTTCAACTGTTTTTCTCTTGGCGTGACTCATTATACACCGACTCTAAGCCATAGATTGAAAATGACAGGTGGGCAGGAGCTTACGGTCTCCCAGTGTTGGTGAGTTCTTTGCCGTTAATGTTCACCTCTCTTACTCGCCTAGATCTCAGCCATCATGAGGCCATTTGTGAACTCTTCATGGAACGATTTTCGAGAAGATTTCTCGATCAACAATACTAAAGAGTGGATCAGTAAACTTGCAATGACCTATCTTGCAAACTGAAGCTCATCCAACGCTGACCAATTCCTGTATTGGATAGAAGAGAATTTTCCCTAGACCCTGACGGTGTTGTTGATTTGGCACGAGATTTGATTACAAAAGCTGATCCGTCTTTTTGTATTGTTGGTTGAGATTTCACGACGTTCCTTTATTATAAACAAATGGCTGTCACCTATCATGTTAATTATGCCATTCCATAGCTAAACGATATAGTGGTTCTCAGAATTTCGTAAAAATGTGTAGTTTTGTTCCTTATTGCAAAATGTTAGACCCGCATTTTTAATTTTTTTTATTGGGTGACCATTTTCATGTAAAGGTGAGCCAAAAAAATCGATTCTTTTCAAAAATGATTTTTTTTTTCAAAAAAGCATATCTTTTGAACCACTGGGCCAATTTCAAAATATCAAATGAAATGTAATTGATCAATTTACATGGCCAAGTTTTGAACCCACCACAGCATGCTTTTGGCGTTACTGTATATGGACGATCAAATGTAAGATACTGTGGTAGCCACAGTATAGTTCTGTCAAAACCTCAGCATTTTCATTGATCCATTGAAAATACTTTTTAGAACCAATATAATGATATTAAAAAATGAGATTTGGTATTGAAAAACATTGATTATAATTGTTTTTTCTTTATGGTTTTCATGGTTTGTAGACAGAAAGCGTAATATTTTTTTATATTTTTCCTGAAAATTTAGGCTTTTTTAGCCAGATTTCCTCTCGCTTGGACTGTATTTGTTGTTTACCTGTAGAGAACAGCTGACTATGAACCAGGCTTGCTGAAACACCTCAAACTCACTGGAGGTTTTAAAATACTCTTGTCCTGCGAGTTTAGCCAGCCCTCACCTCGAGTGAGTGGCGGCAGAAATATGGAAGAAGTAAACAAAAATCCATCGAGAGAGAGAGGGAGAGTGAACTTCAGCGAGAGGATGATTTGACGTGCACTTTTCGAGACTCCGGATGACTTTTTTGTTCGACGCAAGAGGCTCAGAGTTCACCCAGAGTGAGAGTAAAGCTGGGTTTAGACAGGGCAAGTCAGTTGATCAAGTCAGTTGAATTCAACTGACTTGAAAGCGAATTGAATGTGTAAACCATGCCATTCAACTGAGTTGATCAACTCACTTGAATTGAAAAAAAGTTGAACCAGGCTAAACTTTTCAAGCCAATTGAATTAAACTGAGTTGATCAATTGACTTGCCCTGTCTAAACCCAGCTTAAGAGCGTGTGATAGAAAACATGAACATGAATGGCAGCAAACCTCACTCTCATTTTATCCCCCTTCGCTCCTTCGCTCACTGCAGAGGAATGATTTGGCAGTAGGCATTTTACTCCTCAGAAAAATGCTACGCTCGGCTCATTTCACACTCGCGAGTGAGGCTCCATCAAGCCTGCTATGAAATAATGTCAAGTACCTACCACAGTTACCATCCGACCAGAGCTTCTTGTCGTTATATATGGCCGTTTTTTCGCTCCACGACATCTATTTCTGCTACACCGGATATTCAATTATCTATCAGCATAAAACAATAATTCCAGTTCCATGTCTCGGTTCAGATAGCTGTATTCCCGATTTTATCGTCTCGCTATCCTATTGCATCTAGCAAAACATATGAGCTATCAAAATACCGGATTGCCAAACATGCCATTATTTGAAATTTTCGCTCCACCATGCTCAAACGGTTTCAACTCAGGTACTGATTAGCCTCCCAAAATTTAAACTCATTTGGTAAGAAACTGACTTGGCACAAACTATTCGAAGTTTATATGGAAATTACTATGGGAAAACCAAACCTTTTTTTTGTTCATTGTTTTCTACCCATTTTCCATATTGCTTTTTCGAAAATTTCTATAACTATTCTTGCGGGAAATTTTCTAAGCTACAACTTTGTGGCATGATCAAGCAGCTGTTCTGTGGGCAACACTGTATTCAGCAGTGTGACATAGTAGCCATGATATTTGTGCTCTATTCTTCGCACCAGAAACACCAATGTTACCTACTGAACAGTTGAATGAGCATAATCATAAGACATCAGTGACTTGAATCATTAATAACTTTTGTTCTTTACATTTGATTGAAAAGTGGTTTTCAACAAAGTTTTAGCTGAGCTACAATCACTGTTATGATTTTTAAAAGTATAGTGATGTGGTGAATTGTTAGATAGATATGAACAAAAACATAAGTTTTCCCATAGTAATTCCCATATAAACTTGAAATGGTTTGTGGCAAGTCAGTTTCTTACTAAAGTAGTTCAAATTTTGGGAGGCTAAGCAGGACCCAATTTGGAACCGTTTAAGCACTGTGGAGCGAACATTTCAAATTTTGCATCAGTCTAGTGACTACCTTTTGGGCTGATTTATAAATTTAAAGTCGTATATCCGGAGTGATTTGAGATTTGGGCGTAATTGCTTTTGAAAACAAACACGTCAATTACTGATTTCTCTTGAATAAAAGCTCAATCTCACAAACAAACTATACCAAATGATAGAGGAATCATTCCTCTACCTCATAGTGTTATTACTGTTGGAGATTGAGCTTTTATTCGCGAGAAATCGGTGATTGACGAGTTTGTTTACAGATGCAATTACGCCCAAATCTCAAATCACTCCGGATATCAGCCTTATATTGCAAAAAGAAACCTTATCAGGCTATTAATGCGCTTGTTGGTTACTCTAGTAGAGTTGCACTGAATTTTCAAAGGAAAAAGATAGAATAGGGCATATCAAGGATAAGTTGTCAAATGGCTGTATCTGCATTTGTAAACAATGATTCAACCGTAATTTTATAGAAACCCTTTTTTTTTATATTTGCCTTAAATCATCAGAATTATATTGCACTTTTTGCATTAGTGGACTTGATGGTTACTTGAGCAGCTGTTACAACTTCTGAAACACCACCCTCCCCATTCAAATACTGCGTCATTTATGTATGTTCCCTTATCCAATTTTTCCCATGTAACCATCAAGCCCACTTATGCAAAAAGTGCAATATAATGCTTATATAAAAACTTATATTGCAAAAAGGGCTGTGCTATTAACGGGCTTGATGATTGTTTGGGTCAATCTTTTGTTCTTCACACCGAGGGGGGCGACACATCTAAATCTCAATTCTAGATGCTCAAAAAATCTCGCACTAGCGAATCAATCTTCGAAAAATCATCTTTAATTTCTCGCATCTACTTGCATCATGCTTCATCTTTTTGCAGGAAATCTTCAAAATCGACATAAATCTTCCTTCTATCTACTCAGCGTGCGTGCAGCTAGCCACAGCAAAACACAATCTTTTCTGCATCGTAGATAGAGTCGTCCCCCTCGCTTCACACTAAGTTTTTTTTTGCGATTTTAGACAATTAACCCTTTTTAAATTTGTAGAAGCTCATAAGTTACCTACATATGACTATTCTGCATCGAATCAAGGATAACACAAATCCGACCACCAACCGATTCTGGCAGCCATAAAACAATTGTTTTGCCCACCAGTGTAAAGTAAACGCCAACACCGCTAATCGGAGATTCACCTCAAAGGGGGAAAAACGAATGGGTAAATTTGCTGCTTACTTCACATACCACGCGGCCCTATCGCACCACGCGTGTACATTATCCGCGTTGACGAAGGCGTCCTCGTCATCACCACACAGCAGCACACACTACCGTAGTGCGGTTCGGTTCGGACGCAAACAAAAACATCTAAATGAGTTGAACAAAACAGCTACCTCTGTACCAACAACAATCTACATGATTAACACCTAAAGCTTTTCTGCTACTGATTCTACGATTCCTCTGCCTCGGAATGCGATACATACTATATACAACATCAATTTCATCAAATTTGTTGATTTGCTACATTATCATTAAAAAAAAGTTCCGTGATTGGAAACAAACAGCATAGAATTAAAGGATAATACAACAAAAAGGTTATCATCATGAGTCAGTTCACCTAAGCAGATGACTCCCATGTAGAAAGAAAATCCGTTCTATTCAAAGCTGTCCAGGTTGAGCGATTTGATGTACCCGTCGATCTTCTGCTTGAGCTTCCCGTTCACCACCAGCTCGTCGGTCGACAGTTCTACATTGGTCATCGGGGATACGATCTTCTGGCGGCTGAACCACTCCTGAATGGCCAAACGCTCGTACGTGAAACCGTCTGTGGTGAAGGAAAAAAGCAAAAAAAATGCAATATGATTATTAGGTGTCAAATCACAAATAACAGTCTTTCAACCAATTGAGCTGACTTTTTGTGAGTGTCAAGTTTGTGGTTGACCCTAATCACATACAAAAAATCAGCTCAATTGGTTGAAGGATTTTTGAGAAATGGCAGTGGGTAGACGGCCCCACCCATCGCACAAATCGGGGATTCCTAAATAATTCGTTATTTAAATGCCATAGACTAAGGTAAACGTACTAATGTTCTACCTACCACTAGTTTTCGACCCTTCCATTCAAATTGAAAACAGTGTTTAACATATAAAGCGATATGGTCAAAACTTCCGATGTATGCAAATTAGGAAAATTTGGTGGTTGGAACAAAAAAACTTTTGACAGGCATTTGTTGATGTTTTATTGAAGAAGAAATTGATGAAAAGTTTTTCTCGATTGATTGACGCATCCCGAAATTACGGATCATGGAACTTGAGAAAAGAAAATTAATTGTGCACAAACATCTAGAGAACCCTTCGTGGTCTGCCTCAAAAATAGCAAAAGTGTTAAAATTCCCAAAGCCAACGGTGAGTCTTGTAATCAAACGTTACAAGGATACTCTGAGTGTGGATAGAGCACAGCGCATCTATCATAAAAGTGGCACTAGGGACAAAGAGCTGAGGAAAAAGGTGTTGAGGTACGTGAAAAGCTACCCAGGTGTCTCCATACGTGATTTGGCAAAGAAATACGATTCCAACTTTTCCACCGTGCGTAACATCCTTTCAAGAGAAGGATATAAGTCTTTTTGTGCCAGCAAACATCCGAATCGCTCCCTGAAACAAAATTTAGTGGCCAAAAAGCGAGCACGATTACTATACGAACGAGTTTTGACGAAATTTGATGGCTGTATTTTAATGGATGACGAAACATATGTCAAATGGATTATAAACAAATCCCCGGACGAAAATTTTACCTGGCAACTGGTCGTGGGGATGTCCTTTCCAGGTATAAATTTGTTTTTGCTGATAAGTATGCTCGTAAACTAATGATTTGCCAAGGAATCTGCAGTTGTGGCCTTAAAACCAAGGTTTTAATCACATCTCACACAATGACGTCGAAGGTTTACATCACAAACGAAGTGACAGACGGAGCGGCTCGAAAACTTTGGTGACTAACCTGCTATTTCAATTTTTCAGTGTACCACATGGCAACACCACTACTACTGGATTGTACCACATGGCAACACTACTATTGGATTGTACTAGCATTTTCACCAAATATATTGGAATGTTTTGGTTCTATCTCTTTCACTCTACTCAAAACTGAAATGCACAAAAAAATGAAAAAATGAAACACTCTTTGCACTCTGTCAAAGAATCATTGTACACAAAATCAACTTTGTTCAAATCAAAACAAAAAAACTAACCCATCTGGTGGATAATGGCACAAGCTTTCAAGAAAATTCTATTACAGTGAACCACATTATTTTAATGGATTTCTTCGCCAGTTAGTCGTCTGTCACTTCGTTTGTGGTTTACATTAAAGAGAAGAGTGTCTGAAAAAGCGGATTCCACCCTTCATTCGGCAACACAAGACCAACGTTATGTTTTGGCCGGATCTAGCCAGCTGCCACTACTCTAAGAAGGTACTAGAATGGTATACTGCAAACAATGTTAATTTCGTCGCCAAAAAGATTAATCCTCCGAATTGCCCTGAGTTCAGACCGACCGAAAAATATTGGGCAATTGTCAAGCGAAAACTTCGAGGATGCGGTAAAGAAGTGACAAATGCACAACAAATGCGTTTAAAGTGGAATAAGTTCGCCGGTACAGTGTCACCAACGACTGTGCAGATCATGATGGCATCGATCACAAGTAAAGTGCGACAGTTCGTTCGAAACGGTGTTCTGTATATTTGTAAAATTCTGGGATCTCTTCAAATATGAGCCTTCTCAGCAATCAAAATAGGTCCTCTTAGTGAGAAGAACAAGCGATGATACTGATATTTGACCATGCATCGGAACCCTGGCCCGAACCTTTTCTTGTGTCCAATATCAACACTGAAGTTCATAACCGTCACCAAGAAGAGCTTAGGCCCAGAGAGCGATGTAGTAGATCATACATCCCGCTACGTACCAAGAAAAAATGATCTATGCACGTTATGGGGCAACTGTGCAACTGCATTACTTGAATAATTTTGCTGAAGATCATAATTGCTGAGAGATTGAGCATTTTTTTGTGAAATCTTCGTGAAAATCAGTTTTTGGTCCGTAACTTTTCTACAATGTTTTTAAGTATTTAAAAATATGGTTGGACTGTCAAATTAAATAACTTTAAAGAAAACAGCAACTTCCTATCATCATAATTTGAAAAGTTATTCGCATTTTTTGTGTGTGAAAATTACCCAATTTCCAATATCAATACATTCTAAACGTTCAGAAACAATTAGGCCATTCATTGAGCATGTGAAAGTTCAAAGAAAATACTGTAAAATATTGAAGGAACCAGATCACCCCCGTGTGACCCTGTATCGAAACACTTAAACTTAAAACAAAATCGATTATGTCAATAAACAATCCTAAAATCATTGATTTTTTAAATTGGCTCATTCAGCTCCTAATCATTTCAAATTTTCAAAAAGGCTGATGCCCACATTCATCAGGATTCAGTTCAAATTGTTTGTTGGAATGTTCACTCAAATTATAGGAAGTATTAATTTTTATCATCACCAATATTTTAATAGTATTCTAGTCAACTACATTATGAACTGCTCTTTTGTCATGACGTGTCAAGAAATATCAATATTAAATATACAACATTTCAAAATATTTTAATGATTTTTATATATCAATGTTTGTAGGTAGCACCAAAACTTTTAAAATAATTTACAGCTCTTTAAATATTTAAATAAATGCTTACGCCAAAGCTTCAGAATCAGTTAGTTTAGCAGAGCTTTGAATTACTAAAAGAAATGCTTGCTCTTTTTGATGCAGTTTGTAACCCTCATGGGTGACAATTATAACCCACCCTTTTAGCGTGTTTGCCATGAGCGTGTGTCTTGTTTGTTATGATTTATTTTTGATCTGGTCGCACGCTCGGCAACATACTCTCCACTGTTTAATTCTAGATAGAGCTGGAATTAGGGCGTAACAGCTTTTGTAAACAATGGCTTCTCTCGATGATTTCTCGAAAGACATAACTCTCCCTGGCAAATCAACATTACCATCGAATAGGAGAAGACTTCTCCTACCCGATGGATATGTTGATTTGTGTAGGCGTTCTTTGAGTTGCTAGAAATCAACGACAGAAGTCATTGTTTACAAAAACTGTTACGTCCTTATATCAGCTCGATCTAGAATTTGTAAATATTTTAATTTGTTTTTTTAGTAAATTTTATTCGTGTCAGCATGTTTTTAGGATTATAATGTAGCGTAAAAATTATCGTTTTGAATTGTCTCGCGTTTGTAATAAAATAAGGTCCCGTTTCTCCTCCCGCTGCAAAAGCAGGCGAATAAAAATTAGCAGCATAGCAGTCGAGCGCGGTTGCAATAGAACGATGGCGGTTTTTGTTATTGTCCGTTAATGTAAAAAAAAACGGGAGAAACTTTCAAACCAAGCTTGGAGAACAACGCGTTTTCTGCCCGTTATTTTTATTTTAAACCCGAGTGCTTTGTGCCTTTTACGCGGTGCGCATTCGCTGGGGCGACAATTCCCATCATCGTCGGGTGTATGATAGTAGAGTTCCCCCGAAAAGTGCCGGCCCGTGGTTTTGAAACACGGCACAGTAGAGTGTAGGATCGCCATTGCGCGGAAACTAATCATTAAGGATCTCTGCGCTACGAAAAGGATCCAGAATACGCTTGCCGTTCTCGCAACGGAAGGCAGCTAAACAGTGAAGAAGCGGAGGATACGCTTGGCACAGACCGTGTCTGGAGCCGACGTGCACAGCAACAACCACCACCGCCGTCGTCGAAGGGCCCCACCGTGTGACAACGAGGACAGCGAGGACAAAAAGGGAAAGGTCAAATTATTAGAATAGACGCCTTATAAGGAAAATGGCTCTAAGGTTGGCCTATGGATCTAAGATTGGGCCCATCGTTAAAAATCTGCTATTTATCAATTTTATCTAGAGGAACACGTCATTGGGACGGTACTATTTCTGGATGGGACCAAATTAGGAGCATTTAGGCCGACATTACATACGTTTCCCCTATTTCACTTTCTCTCTCCTTTTCCCATCATTTTCACCCATATCCGAACGTCTTTGGGGGAAGTACCCTTGCTCGAGGCCGCCTTGCCGACGTAAAATCGGGCCAGCAGAAAAGTTAAATAGGTTGACAGAAAAGCCACAACTTATAACTTCACATTAGTTATTCGGATTTTTTTTAGGATTTCATTAAAATTAATACTCATCATTAGTTCAAATTGTCTTCTCTACTCGAATGCATATGTAATGGCCTTACAATTATTTTGAAATTCATTTCAAAATTTTCTTTGAGCTTTACGCAAAGCTCTCCTTAGAATACCTTGGAATTAATTACTGAATTGTCTTGAAACATTACTTCTTTTAAATTATCTTCCAATTTTTTATCTCAGTATACGATTCCATCGATATTTTACTCAGAACTTTCTTAAAGCTCTCTGCTGAATTTTCCTCAGTACATATTCTTGAAATTCTCTCGCTATTCTCCTCACCATCGCCATACAATGCTCCTACACTGATAAAATTCGACACATTTTTATTGGCGAATTTCCATGTAAAATGCCACATGATTTTCATGTGTCCACACATAAACAGATTCCACTCAGAAGTAAACATGAAATGTATGAGTCAAATGAATAGTATGTGTGGTTACACATGAATTGTATGTGTACACATAAGAGCTATGTGTCCGACACATATATATCATTTGTTTATCACATTGCAAAAAATCATGTGTGGGACACATAAAAATAATCATTGAATTTTTATTAGAGTACCATGGAGTAAGTCACTTTGCCACATTGTGCCCTTGTAAAACCCTAAGAGAAGAGGTGACAATACGGGGGCGAAAATGAACCACTTTTCTGTCAAACGTGAACCAGCTCCTGATTGGCCGATTTCATGTGCGTAAGATAGAGATAGAGATAGATAAAGATAGAGATAGAGATAGAGATAGAAATAAAAGAGGAAGAAGCCAATTGTCACCTCCTCCTCTTAGCTAAAACCCACACAAACATACTTCAAACCCCCTTTTTTAATCAATTCTGGCACCAGTGCTAAAAATGTTTACATTCGATTGTTATTTTGAAACAACATTAAACATTATGGATCTGGATTAAAAAGCTCAAATCCGAAGAAAAGGAAGTCCGGAACCGGTTGGGATCTGCAAATACAGCAGCATCAGGAGGAACAGATACTAGAAAATGTGAAGATGCCAGAAAACCAAGACAAACACAACGAAACAGTTTCCGATTTCTGAATGTCAGTCCTGTACCACCGAGAAACCGACATGAATGACAATAGCAAAATCAATAAAATTTCTGACCAAAGCACACTACTGACATCTGGCTCCATGTTCGCGGGAAATATTTAGCTAAGTCATAAAACCGCATGCAAAAGTTATGAATTGGTTCGTGTCTGATCTATTCTGGACAAATTATTTTTATCTAGATCAAAACATCCTATGGTTGTGACAGTTTGGATCACTGCACATTTAATTCTGCCGTTTACGATTTTCGGGCATAAGTCAGAATTAAGTGTCATGTCGGTTTGTCGGTGCCTGTACTGCCTATAATTGTATATCAGTCCCATATGGAAAAAGCAGGCATTGAGAAAATGGCGGTCGAAGTTACGAAGTGCAACCAATTCCCATGTAAATATTTGAAAAATCATAGTAAATTAATTGATAGTTTTTTCAAGTTAAAATTAGTTGCAATGCAGCTTGCATGTTTTGTTATTTCAGCGAAAAATATGACAATTCAAAATGCAGAACTTTAACTTGAACTATGGACGACTGAATTTTAGGATGGGACTGATATGCGATTATTTTGCTTGATAGGACAAACTGACTTGATGTTGTTTTCACATTTTTCATGATCAAAATCCATAATTTTATTTCATAATCTGAAAGTAGATGCCATTTGATAGTGGATGGCGTAGTTATCTTAAAATTGACGATAATCCATATGGGACTGATATACGATTATAGGCAGTGGGAGCTGCCTCTTTGGTGTCGGTAGCATTGGTACTCAGTTGAAGGAAAAGAAGAGTGACTTATCCTATGTCTCCTACCCAGGAATTCACCGTGAAGTTCTCCTTATGACTTTCTTGTTTTGAAAAATCATTTAATTCTCACATCTGGAAAATTGTCAATATCCTAGAACTACTAAAATTTGTTTGAATCCAAACTTGTCAGAATACATACTTAAATAATTTCAAATCTCAGACATATGATTGATTTTATTCTAGGAATGATAAAAAGTCTGAATAGTAATGAACGCTTCAGAATTTTTTAAATTGCTGGCCTTCGGGATCTCACCTTTTTGTTCAAGTCCAAATGGTCAAAAACATTAACAAATAGGGGAATTTACGTATTCTCGGCAACCTAAGCAGCCAATGAGTTGGATTACCGAGGTGAAGCAATCACTCACACAACCACTGTACGATACACGCAAGTACACGTAATACCCCGTTCACATTACAGCCTATATCACGTAATATAGGCTGTCTTGCAATGAGCACTCATACATAGGATTTCCAGTGAAAACTTGATGTATGAGTGCTCATTGCAAGACAGCGTATATCACGTGATATACGCTATAATGTGAACGGGGTATAAGTAGTGACGTCACTACTTACTTTTACGTTGATTTTTTGGTTTACCAACCCTATTTCACGATCTGCGCCACCTCTCTCTGTACCTCATTGCTAAGCAGCGACCTTCTTTCTATAGCCTTTTTCTCTAAGGCTCGCACACATATGCAGTATTGGTTTGTTTACAATCTTTTGCTGCCAGCTGTTCTAACAATTTCAGTCGAAAGAATTGTCAAAAACTGTTTTGAAACACATTTACAAAGCTCCAATCTTCTCTAGTGAGAGCGAGTATTGTCGGCAATCAGTTTTTCTTCGGCAACCGTTCCATTTGAACTGCATGTAAATCTGCTGTTCTATTATCGGCAACTCGAAATCAGCTACAATTTGTAGTGCGTGTGTTGCATTTCAAGAAAACCTTGCTAGATTGCTTTTTCTCAGTGGTAAAAATATAGTCAAATTGAAGCTGAAAGCATAAAGAATCGTTTGCATGCATTCAGCGAAGTGTTTTCGTAAGAAAATCCAGTGAAAATAGTGTTTCAATTTGTGTTGCCGAAAATAGTCTGTCATGCCGAATCCGTCATTTCCCTACCAGAATCTTGAAAAAATGTCATAGTTCAGATTCTTTAAATCTTTTTTAATTATTAGATTTTGATTAGTCCGTATGTTGATTATTTTTTTTCCTGTATCTGGGATCTTGAAAATACGTCAATTATCTTTGAATATTTCCCAGAATTTTTCTTCTAATTCTGATAATTTAATTTGAGCATCTCTCAATTCCCCTCAGAATTCTTCTACAACTTTACTTCTTTAAAATTTTCTTCAAAATGCCCATTTAATTGCACCTTTATTTTTTTCTGAATTGTTATGAAATTTTAGTCATAGAATTCTTATCGAAGTTCTTTTTAATTTTCGTTAAATTCACCTAGCATTCTCCTTACAAATCCTATTTAATTAGCCTGTGGATTTTTGTTTTGATCGGCAACACTAATTCATGCGCACTTTCATTGTTACGATACCCATTATCACATTCCCGAAGGGTAGTGTAAAAGAGAAACAGATATTGCATTAAATTCTCAATATTTAGTTTTGTAAAATCTAAGCAATTTTTCCTTCACTCAGGGAATATTTTGGTGACAAATGCCACCTTTGCCACCTGCTGAGTACGGTGCTGAGCATACCTTGCAATCGTCCCAACATTCCATTGAAATAACGCTGTAAGTTTCATTGGAACTACCAACAGAATTTCTTAGTGACCCAAGAGTGTTAATGTGACTATAATAATTTAAAAAAAATTGTGATTCATTTGAAGCTCTCTTAATATTTTCTATAGAAATATATTAAAAACTATCTTGGAATTCTACACAAGTTTCACCAAGAATCGGGTTGTCCTTACCTTGGAAACAATTCTTAGACTTCATCGAAGATCTCATCACCACTATCTTCTAGTTTGAACTGTTTTAGATTACTCTTTAGAATTATTTTCGAAGTATTCCTAGAATGTTCACCTCAAAACTCTTTAGGAGTTTTAATTGAAATTATTTTCTCTAATATTTTCCAGCAGTCCAAGAACCTTGGCAATTTCAGAACATTCATTATTTTCATATTTCAAATTTGAGATCTAGGAAAATTTTCAAGCTCACCAAGTTGAAAAGTTGTGGTGAAGACATGTTGAGACATCGTTTCGATCTCGTTGAAGACTTTTTTTTCTTCTAATAACACAAGGCATCCCTTCCACGCACACCCCCAATCTACCCCTTCAAACAACCTACCTTCGGCGTAAACCGGTTCCTGCATGACCTCATGCGTAATCGGGCAGATAAACTCCAGCGGAATGTCGGTGGTCTTCGATGCCAGCGTAAACAGTAGCGACCGGATGCCGGTGATGTGCGAATCGATCGTCAGATTGTTGGTCAAATCCCAGATGACCACGGAGCGATCGTTCGAACCCGAAGCAATCACGCTCGAGTCGCTGTTGATGGCCAAACAGTTGACGTAGCGCGAGTGTTCCGATAGCGTTTTGATGCACGTTCCCTGCTGGTTCCAAATCTTAATTGTCTTATCGAGGCTGCACGATATCAGCAGTGTGCCGGTTCTGTTAAACCTGTGCCAAGCGTAGGGAGGGAAAATTTAGGCCACATAAAAATAGAGCTCATTAGACAATGAACAAGCTCGTTCAATTCATATCGATTGGACAAGTTGGGGCGGCGATGCTGATAAGAGCGTCGTCGTCGACATGAATCGAGATTTCAGTTTGGTCGGGCTGGGCCCACGTTATTTACCTCACACAAGTCACCGAACTGCCGTGGGCTGCGATCGATTGGAAGCAGCTGGCGTTCATCACTTTCGTGCTGTAGATGGTCGATTGGCCGGCGAAATGCTCCTGAGGTGTGTTGGGAATGAGGCGAGATTTTTTGCTCCGATCCACGTTGGCAGGGATGTAGAAAAGGCGCCAAATTTTTATGACATGATCCGTACCGCACGTGGCCACCGTGTAGATGATCGAGCAGTTGTCAGCGGCTGGCGGGTGGAATTAGGGTCGGGGTTGAATTGTTTATAAGGCACAACAAAATGGTACTCACGGTCAGCATGTACGATTTTGCAGAAATCTGCCGAGAGGACTCCCATGTCATGCGCAGCATCGATAGAGCAGTCCGCTTTCGCGATTTCGGCTGTGGACACAGGAAAGGATATTATGTTTAGCCAACAGACTTCTTTGGCCTGGTCTAGTTAGTATAGGCACAGCTATAAAGCAAAATCATGCTGGAAGTAGCGGATTCCATTCCGCATTGAGTCGAAGATTTTTTTTTTTTGAAGCTGGGAAATTCCCGGCTTCCTTGACTCGTTATCAACAGACTATTGTAATCACAGTGAGCATGCATTAGGGCGTATACGCGATGATCGATTCTATTCGTCGATTTTCTCTTAATAACTCGCTAGATTTAACGTTTCTCGGTGCGTTTGCTGTTGCTTTTGATAGCCAATACAACCTGTTACTACTCTGCATTGAACAAATTCTAGAAAATTGTTTCGATTAGCTGTAGCAATGCAAAGAGAAAATCGATGGAGATAATCGATCATCGCGTATTCGCCCTTATGCATGCTCACTGTCCTAAAATTTAATTTTTCCAGCATTTGGATTCAAAGATCGATACAAATTTGAAACCCTTTGCGCCAGTACATCAATCTTTATAATTTAATGTAATAAATTTATATTTTTTTTTTCTTGAAAAGAGGCATGCTGTTGGGTTATTATATAAGTTATTAATCAAACTGGGGGTAATTGATAGAATGAAGCATCTTAAAGCTTCTGCTTTGACAGTTATTTATTGAGAGCTTTCAATACCAACAAATGCATGAATTTGTATATTTTGTAGAAATGAAGTCGAGAATATTTCCAACCCCGAAGATTTACTAGATCGAACCAGAAATTGAACCGCCGACTACCGCCTCCCACTTGGTAATACCGTGCCTTTACTGACTAGTTCAATTAACATTGTGTGAATGATGTTCTAATTTTGAATACAGTCAATCTTATTTTTTAGACCAAATAGGTAATTTACAAACCTTAAAAAACATGAACCCATTGAATCAAATAATCCAATGTCGGCACGTACCTTCGAAATCATCCTCCACGGCGTAAAATCGAATGTTCCCGAGCGTGCAAGCGGTTAGCAAGATACTCGAATCGCTGGAGAAAGCAATGGTGTGAATTGCTTCGTCATGAATCTTCATGTGTCTGCGGCCGCAAGAAGACAGAAGTTGAAACCAAAAAAAAAGAGGGTATAGAATTAAAAAAAAAAACCGCAACTCTGGCTCTCCTATATGGGATGATGAATGTGTTAACAGAAAGTACAAACTTGGCAGAGGATCGATTTCAGCTCCACTTAATACTTGACCGTTAACGTGACTTCACAACACACACACCACGATTATGCAATCACGTGAACTGATCATCAATGTGGAGCAACGCAATAAATATACAATACCTTTTGAGACTTTTGTCCTGTCCCCAAACGCAAATGCATCCACTGTCGTCGGAACTGACGATCAAGGTTCCATTTGGACTGAAGATGCATGCTCGGATCGCCTCGCCCGCTTCCTGCGTGAGCACGTTGGTCTCCTCACCGGTGGATAGGTTCCACAGTATCACAGTGCCGTCCACCGAGGCCGATGCCAGAACCGCACCCTGGAGATTTTTTTTTTTGTATAGAAAACCGTGATTAGAGAACCATTAAGAAATATTTGTGGTCAAAATCTAGAGCATTTTTCGGACCTAAATTCCTGAAATTTCTACATTACTAGAAATCCAAAACTTGGTGAAATGTTCAAGGTTCTGGGAATCAAACAGCTGTTAAGATCCTGGGACTAAGAGGATTATACATTCAAGATGTCAGCCTATGAAACACAGTAAGAGAGATCTCGAACATAAACCAGTTATGAAAACTCAATAATATTAAAAACTAGCTAACTAACTAAATTCTTGGACATTACTAATTGTTCCAGATCTCAGAATAACGCTGAGTTTGTCTTCACTTTGCAGACCCACTTGTAGTTGTTTCCTCCCTTTCCAATCCCACGTCCGGTTGGTCATCACCAGTGCTTCGAATTCCATTACGCGCTGTCTTCTTCTGCTTCTTCTTCTTCATTCCTTTATTTCTAGACCAACAATTGAAATAGGCGGAACAACGAAACTTAAACAATGCGACAGTGAGCTTGAGCTTGATTGACCGCCCACGGTTGCTACTCTGTTACTGCCAGATCAGCTGTAATTACACAGAGAACCAATAGACGATGCTTGGGACTACCCTAATAAAAATTGTATGGTTAATTTGCTTAACGACGTGTTCTGGGTATCATCCAAACCATTTGTGGAATAGTTCAATGATGTGGGTTATCGTTCGTTTATGGTTATTTTTTATTAGGGTAGCAGTCATCCTCAATGTGTAAAAACTGGTGATCTTAAATTAGGCAATACCAGCGCCGGCCGCGCCCGAATACAGGTCAAGAAAGGAATGGGAAGGATTGTGTTGACATGACACTCGCTTTGATGGAAGCCGAGAACACCTCTGCACTTCCACGAGGAATCACTGGGATGTTGGATAAGAGGGTTGGATTTGCAGCAGGGTTCGTTTTGGTTAACGATAAGCTGAATTGATGTCCGAACGATCATATAACGCGAAGGAGCTTGGGACTAAACCCACGGTCTTCTGCTCAGTAAGCAAAAACGTTTGCCACTAGGCAGACGAGCACCTTTTTAATCACCGAGTTGCTGTTATTACCATGTAGTCATATTAACAAATAAAACGATTGACGAATCTTGAATGTGGATGGGCCTGAGATTAGACTCATGATGTTCTGCTCAGTAAGCAAAAACGGTTGCTCTGAGGCCACCGAGCCCCTCATATCACATAATGCCGTTGCTCAAATTTGTGTATCCATTCAAACCCGGAACCAACGACAACAACGAGTTTCGCAAAATACAAGATACACAAGGGATTTTACCATAAATCCCTTTGATATGTAAGGACCTGGGACCGCGTTTTTCTGCTCAGTAAGCAGGCCACTGTAACCGACGATCTTTCAAATCCGAAAACTAAAAACTACGAAAAAGTACTTAGGCCTTCATTAAGTTCCACTTTCACCCGACGTTCAATGACAGGGTCCTATCCAGGATTACATCTGAAAAATCCAAATCTGACCAACGCCCACCCTAAACCTAAATCTGTTCTAATCCACCTGAAATGACTAACGAATGTAAGACTTTGACTACCCAGCCATGCAATAGTCTCATTCCGTGCCTTATGGCAACTTGATGATTCTATTGCGCTCATCTTTTGGCACCACCCAGGGGAGACTTGGTCCTGTACCCAATGCTTAACTTATCTCCATTCCACTCAGCTACTCGCAATTTCTTGTGATATAGTGGGCGGAATATTATTATATGAGACAATTCAATGCAGACGTCTTTCCAAATTTGGCAGATCGACAGGTAATCGGTGAGTTACCACGATAGTTGCTATTCAAAAACTCGACAACGTCGCATCGTCAACGCCTGCTATGAGAATTTTCCATTGCAGACGCCAACGAAATGACGTCATCGAGCTATCGATCAACTACCCTGGTTATCGCCTGGTACCTTATAGCACGATGCTAGGAGGCGAACCGGAAGAATCGATGAGCTACCTCTCCCCCATTGCGACAGTGAGCATGCTTAAGGGCATAAACGCGATGATTGATTCTCTTCGTCGCTTTTCTCTTTTGTTAATAACTCGCTAGATTTAACGTTTCTTGGTGCGTTTGCTGTTGCTTTTGATAGCCAATACAACCTGTTACAATTCTAGAAAACTTTTTCGCTTAGCTGTAGCAATGCAAAGAGAAAATCGATGAAGAGAATCGATCATCGCGTATACGCCCTTATGCATGCTCTCTGTCGAATGGCTTAAACGCAAATTTCCCAAAAATCACTTCCTTTATCGAATGGCTTTGTTAATTGGCGTGGGTGTATTCTGAATCTCGAGAAATTGTTGATCTAGATTTAACGTCGGTCTCTGTTCCGCAATCTAGTGCCATTTACCGAAGGACATCGATTGCCATCCATTGACGGCAATCGAACGTGCAGGAAGGCAGCTTCCACACCTGCCTATAGGATATCGCACCCATTCAAACACACATGGGCCGGGACCAACGACTTTACTTCCCTTCCGAAGAAAGACGTGACCAGAGATTTTTATGCCTCAGAAAAATCCGACCGACCTCTCCTGGGAATGAACCCAGACCCATCGGGGTGTTAGAAAGCAGTCACGCTTACCACTATACCACCGGCGCCGGCTATTTGAAAATTTAAGTGAAAATTCACCAATTCACAGTCTTAGGACCTAGTGCATTGTTCGGTTTGAGTTATGCAAAGTTTCATGCAAATCGGAGGAGGTCGAGTTTCATTGATCTGTCATTTGGCGTGAAACTGCTCATCTGTATTCGTCTTCACCAGGGTAGTTAATCGATAACCATCGATAACGTCAGCGTTAACGTCTGCAAAGGTGAACATCTGTAAGGACTGTTCATTAAAGAAACTGGACACCTGTTTATCAATGGTTCAGGGTTAAAACGTAACGAAAAATTGTGAATTTTCGCTCAGTGTGTAAAAACATTGTTTATTTTGGCAACACACCTGAAAAATAAAAAAAAAAATAAAAGTGGGAAATAATGACGAACGATGGGTCGGATCGAGGGGCGACACTATCTACGATGAAGGAAAATTTGTGTTTTGCTGTGAATAGCTGCGCGCACGCTGAGTAGATAGAAAGAAGATTGATGACGATTCTAAAGATTTCCTGCAAAAAAATGATGTGCAATGCGATTGTAATGCAATTAGATGCGAGAAATTGTAGAAACGCCTGGTTCGGTCCGAGGTACAACTGATAATAAATATTTATTCTCAGGCTTTAAGGTTGTTACAAAACCAATGGTTGCTTAGATCCTACATTCCCTCCTTACGTTTAATATTTAAAAAATTTAATATATTCAAAGTTTGTAATCTGCTAAGTATTTAGGTACATGTTTCGAGCGCTTGCTGGTAGCTCGGCTAGTCTCAAAAGGGCGTTTTCGACCATCGCATCGTGAGACCATCTGAGGTTCCGTAGTAGTTTGGCTGGTAGAGGGTTGTTCCGTTGGATTCGTAGTACGTTCAGCAGCAGTTGGAATGGCTGGTCCCATGTCATCTTCTTCTTGTGTGCCCTCAGAGGTTTTATGATTATCTGCGTCATTCTCCTGTTTCATCATGGGATTCGCATTTAGGATTCGTTTGGTGTGGTTCACGTGTCGATTGAAGATCACACTGCTTTTAATGTTCTTCAAGTGGAGCCGTGATCCGTCGCGTTGTATCACAAGATGAGGTTCGGGGTTGAAAGTGGTTGTTAGCTTATTTTTCTTGACAAAATTTTTCACAATCACATAATCTCCAACATCGATATTGCATTGCTTAGCTCTCCTTTTTGAATCCGCATAGATTCTTCCTTTTTCTTTCGCCTTCCTATCGTTTTCTCTTGCTTCAGTTTCATTGACTGGTCTTGAGTTTCCTGGTATTTTATCCCGAATGTTCCACCCAAACATCAATTCCGACGGTGAAAACTTTGTTATGCTGTGAGGTGTTGCTCGGTAAGAGTGAAGAAAATCTTGTAGATCATACCGCCAATTACGTCCCATAGTACAGCTTATTTTCAAGGTCTTCAATAAAGTTCTGTTTTGCCTCTCGACCAATCCATTTTGAAAAGCTGCATAAGGAACTGTATGCTTGATTGAGATTGCATTTGTCTGACAAAAATTCAAGAATTCTGCTGAAGAAAATGGCTGACCATTATCGCAAACAACTTCAATAGGATAGCCGAACCTTGCAAAAATTTCCCTCATTTTAGTGACTGTTACTTTTGCTGTCATTGAAGTAAGTACACACTTAGAAATAACTAATTTTATAAGTGACGGAATCCATCTTTGACATAAGAGATGAGACGTAAACAAACATGTCATGTAATATTAAGTGCTCCGAGACTAAAAATTTTGTTGCTCGACGAAAAGTACGTTTGATTAAGTTATATATCGCGTCTGTTATGACTCAAATTTATGTCAAAATTGACGCTCGTATATGTCACTCTCAGAGCACCTAAATTTACATGAGTTTTTCTAAGTGTGTATAGCAACTTCAACGTACCGGGAGTAGTAGTCTGTCGCTACAAGCAAATGGTAACCGCCAGGAATTTCCATGAAATCCACCGCTATTTTCTTCCACGGTCCGTTAGGCATCTCGGTTCTTGTTATAGGAAGTGTATCAGGTTCTGATACAAGCGTACATCCTGTGCAAGATTGGACGAATTTCTCTACCATAGAGTCCATCCTAGTCCACCATACTTTAGATCGTAGTCGACGTTTCATTGCTGCAATTCCAAGGTGAGGTTCGTGTGCAAGCTTCAAAATTTGGGTTTGTAGGATTCGAGGAATTACAATTCTTTGATCTTTCATCAATAAATGTCCATCACTGGTGAAGCATCCCGACATTTTTGCATAACGCATTAATGTTCTAGGCCAACGTCGAGAAGGGTACGGTAACCATGTAATCAGTTCTTGCAGTTCTTCATCTGAGTTTGTGGCAGTTACAATTTCCTGAAGGGTTATTGCCAACGGGCAAGCATCACTAGCTATCATTCGTACGATTCTTTCTGATTCTTCATCAAAGCTAGGTTCATTATCTGGTACAGATTGGCAGAGTCGTGACAGCGGGTCAGCGATGTTATTCTGTCCTGGACGGTACATTACTTTGAAATCGTAGGACATCAGGCGCAACTTCCATCGTTGTGACGGCTTCAGACGATCTCCAAAAATCACGACTAACGGCTTATGGTCCGTAACCAGATGGAAAAACTTCCCGTAAAGATAATAGTCAAACTTTTCACAAGCCCATACTAATGCTAAAGCTTCTCGCTCAGTCTGCGCGGTCTGCGCATACTTCTGTTCTGTCGGAGTGAGAGTTTTAGACGCATAACAGATCACACGATTGCGATTATCTTTCCCTTTCTGTACCAAAACAGCACCAAGGCCAACAGGACTCCCATCGGCAATAACATAAGTTTCATCGTCAACATTATAAAATCCAAGGGTATTTTTGTTAAGTAGAATCATCTTAATTTGCTCGAATGCTTGTTGGTGTACTGGTTTCCATTCGAAGTTTATGCCTTTCCTTGTGAGCTGATTTAGGGGGTGTGTAATGGTTGCCATATTTGGAACATGTCGATGAACGAAATTAACCAAACCAAGCAGACTTCGAACTGCTTCTGCGGACTTGGGGACTTGTAATTTTTCGATAGCTTCCAGTTTTTCTTGAGAAATTGAAATTCCTTGTGTAGAAATGTGATAACCCAAGAAGTCTATTTCCCTAGCGCCTGTGATAACTTTGTCAGCATTCAGTAGTATCTTGTACTGCTTCAATCTGTTATACACCATCAAAGTTCTTTCACGAAGCTCAGATTCGTTTCTAGCGGGGATCAGAATGTCATCGATGAAAATAATAAGCCATGGAAGATCAGCAAAAATCGTCTCCATAACTTTTTGAAACAACTCAGGAGCAGCAGAAAGTCCAAACATGAGCCTTTTATAACGGAATAAACCAAGGGGGGAAATGAAGGTGGTGATGTATCGAAAATCTTCTCGGATGGAAAGCTTGTCGAATGTCAAGTTTAGTGAAAATTTGATTTCCTCCGATTTTCTTCGTTATTTGCTCGAGTGTTCGAAGGACACTTCTCTAACTATTGCTTTGTTAGCCTCCCGGAGATCTACAATAAGTCTGACCTCATCGAAGCTTTTACGCTTTACTAACATTGGAGAGACCCATTCAGAAGCTTCATTGACACGTTCAATAATGTCCTGCTTCTCTAGCTCCCGAAGTTTTTTCAAGGTCAATTCTTCAAGAGGAAATGGTATGCGACGAAGGCTTTGGCGGACTGGAGTTACAGTTTTATCAACTTTGATATTAGCAACAATACCTGTACACATGTGAAGTTTAGAATAGATTTATTTAAATTTACCTGTATAAATTATTGCTTACCATCCATATGTGGGAACGATTCATCATTCACTGCTTGCAAAAATTTCACCAATCCAAGTTTGACTGCTGTGTCACCTGAGAGAAGCGAGCATTTCCCATTCTGGATCACGTAGAACGTAGTGTCGGTACTCCGACCGTCGATCATAGCTTCTGCGTCGACTTCACCAAGCACTTTCAACGGTGTATTTATCCCATAAGCATAGAATACTTTGCTGCTTCCTCTCCTGATAGAGTATGCTTCAAACCCAACGCGTTTCAACTTAGCCCAATCCGCTTCGCTTAAAACGTCTTCGTCTGCTCCTGTGTCAATCACGAACTTCAAACAAACTCCTCCAACAGATACTGGAACCAGCTTCTTTCCTGCTCCTAGATGGAAAAGATCAACTACATCTGAGTTGCGCTCGGTTCCATCTACAGATACTTCTCGTACGAATCGCTTTTGTTTACGGGAAGCTCCGAAACGATTGTACTGGGACGGTTGTCCGTTGGTCTTCTTCCTTTTTAGAAAACAGCAGCGGGAAAAGTGTCCCACTTGACCACAACTTCTACATTCGAGTGATTTGGCTGGACACGATGGATCTTTCGAATCATGTCTGCCATTGCATCGGAAACATCTGAACCGCCTTGGTCCTCCGAGTTTGGAGCGTACCTTCAAAATTGACTCTTCATTGGCCTCCGTTTCGACAGCGCTGACTTTTTGTAAGTTTCCGTTCCGATTGTCCAAATCGCTCATCTGTATTTGAACAGACTCGTGGGTACGACCGATCGCTACGATCTCCTTGAAGTTAAAGTATTTTTCCAGGCACTTCCTCTTCAGACTCACATCCGTTGTAGTTGTAATAATTTGGTCAGCTACCATGCTTTCCAGCTGATCTCCAAAATCACAGTAGGCTGCCTGCTTTTTCAGTCTGATGACAAAAGTGTCAAACTTTTCACCTACAGCTGGTTTCATCTCGCGGAACTTCTGACGTTCGAACGTTTTCGAGAGTCTCGGTACAAAGTAATCGTCCAACATTGACATGGCAATGTGGTACCGGTTCTCCATAGCGTGTGATTCGTCAACATGAACTTGCTTGACCACTTTCCGGATGTCTGGTCCACCGAACATCATCAGGGATTTGAATTTTTCCTCCTGATTGTCAACGTCCTTCCATGCTAGGTATGCTTCAAAATGTTCACGCCACTTCTCCCTCTCATGCTTTAAGGTTGTTACAAAACCAATGGTTGCTTAGATCCTACAGAAATGAAAGAAGGTTTTTCGAAGATCGATTCGCTAGTATGAGATTTGTTGAACATCTACAAATGAGATTTAGATGTGTCGCCCCCTCGGGTCGGATCAGCTTATCAAGTCGCAAATTAATTCCGAGGGGCTGTCAACTTGTGTATTTTCGATTCATCTACCCAAATTGAAAGGGCGTATTTTGTATTTTTCCGTATTTATGTATTTATAAGTTTTGTGTATTTTTGAATTAAAGCGTATTAAATTCTGATGAAATGTATTTTTCGTGTACAAAATATTTTCGAGGTATTTTTGTATATTTCATTTAAGGTATTGCTGATTGCATCTGAAACTGGACTGTCCCAAAAATGCAAAAAGTGTGATAAAAGTGCACGTTTCCGTCAAATCGTTTTGATGTCTTGGGAGCACTTATTGTTTGCATCATAAGGAATAAGTGCACCGAAGACACCAAGACGATTAGACGTAAACTTGCAATTTTTTCACACTTTTTTATAAGTGAAAACGCGCTTATTAGTCCAATTTGGTGTTGACTGCTTTAAGAAAATTTGGTCTGCAGCACAACGAAAAGTTAAGAAGAAAGTTGTGCAGAATCTAATGGGCGGTATCAAGAGAAAAGTCTGAGCGTTCTTCAGAAATGATAAGTAAACATTCAAACTCACGTGATATCGGTCATATGTATGTTTTTTTTTTCTTTATTTAGGAGATTTTCAGCCGTAGGCTGGTTCATCTCCGATATGTTTGTTGATTTTCATTAAACATGAATTTGTCCGAAAATAAATATTTTCCTTTGAGAAACAGATGTCTGCTTTCATTAATGAACAGTCCTTACCATATAGGTAATAGCATAGCAAGTACTGAATCTACCTAAAATAACAGTTTTACGGTGAATGACTAAAACTCAGTAAAATAAAACACCTAGTTTTAGCTGTTTTCAGTACTGATTGTATTTTACTGGAACAGTCATAAAACTTAATCCCAAAATTACTTATCACACCCTGTAAATCAAATGATTTATTTTACGTCATTCACTTCCGTTCCACCTCACACACTTGACTTCGGAAATTTATGTGTAAAAACAGCAAACCTCTGTGAAAATCAGTGAATCATCTGAAAGTCAACGCAGCAGCGCAGAAACAGCTACAATCTCTGCACTCCTGTATCGACTTCCAGATATTTCATTCACTTTCGAGCAAAAACATTAAATTGCCTGTAGTAGAGTTCCACACTTAGGCACGCAGTCTTGCACAGCAAAAAAGCTTCCAGTCGGCTAAACCACGAGGAAGTGTTGACCAATTAAGCTGGACGAGCTCTGGATTAGCTAAAACAGTATAATTGCCACCCTACCACTACACATGTTAACCGCAGTTCCCAAATAAAAATCGCCATGATTTGAAATATTTTATTTACTATTAATTTACATCAAAATACTGCGATTAAAATACTGAAAAAATCAGCATAAAAATATGTAAACAAATATTTTACTGGAAAGACAGCAATTCGTTTACTTCAGTTAAAGCAACAACTACTGAGTTGATTACTGAAAACTCAGCTCTTTGAAAATCCAGTAAAATTTTACCGACTTCCATAATCTAAACTCTGTGAGTAGTTTTTCAATCATTAAAACAAAACCTTATTTTTCTCGAAATTTTGCGAAAGTTTATTTCGTCGGATTGAAATATTTTTTCCTCTAGCTGGACTTTATGCTTTGCTTTATCGTTCATGCCAGTCTTTCGCTTATCTGTGCTGCGACATCACAAATAAATTAATAGCGAATTCGTTTATTATTCAGTTCCAACCTGGATCGGGTATCAAGATTGGGTCTGCTTGTTTTCTGACAAACGTCAGTTTGATCGTTTGTTTTTAAAACCCAGCTCAGGTTGAGGTTCGCACTGACAAAAAGTTCGGTTTCGCACTGGGTTGGAACTGGTTCCAACCTCGATAATAAACGAATTCGCTATAAGAGCAAACGGTCTATCCCTCGTTTCGTGCAACTTGCACGCACACATGCGCACACATCGGCGGTTGCTAAACGTCAAACAAATCAAAACAAACGAAGTCAATCAGTTGTTGCCGCAATCAATTTTCATTTTTCCATCAGACGTTTTCCCTCAAACTTTCGCAGGCAAAACAAAAGTGATAACGGTCACTGAAATCGATACCGTTGTGAATATTTTAATGGTTCAATAATTGCTCGCCACTTTTATTGTTGAAAAATAACAATCAAGCTAAGCGATGAGTGCCAAGAAGGAGCCGGAGACGGTTGGCTTCTGGCTGCCGAACCAGTGCAGCGCCAAGATGGACATCCTGACGCCGCACAAGCTGGCAGTGGTGTTCCTGATTCAAGAATACCTGTCGCTCAAAAAGTCAGCGGAGGAAAATCCACAGCTGGAGTTTACGGCACGGGACCGGAGGAAGTTCTGCATTCTGCTGCTCAAACTGATCCAATACCCGGACATGGCATTCAAAGATCTGTACGGGTTGCTCACCTCGCCCGTGTACGGAATCCACCGGGCTCATCTGGATGAGTTTGAAAAGCTGATGAAGATGCTCAAAACGGTTGGGATCGAGGTAAGAGGTAGCGGCGTATTGCTTTTGGCGAATGTGAACGTGACGTTTTTTGTTTTGTAGATTTTGTTCGACTTGTACAACGTAATAGAGAAGCTGATTACGGATAATGCTAGCAGCTACCAAATTGGCATCGTTGGGTTGTACCTACGCAGGGTGTTCGTAACGTTGGATAAGATGAATTTTCCGGAATTTATGGCACTGTATCGGAATGCGGTGGCCTATTACGAGAAGGGCGTTAGGGCAGTTCAAATTTCGAGTAGCACTTTCTCGAATAGCGAAAGCTTTATGAAACTCGAAGCGCAGACAGTGTACAAAGATCGGAACTCGACTAGCAAATGGTCTATGAAGCAAGCGGAGCTGTTCGTCGCACAGCAGAGTACACTGCTGCAGAACAACGAAATGAATGCCTTGAAACCGAAGGAAATGCAAACGAGACTGAATGAAATTATCCATGATCATCCCCTCTACTCGCAGGCCTATTTCGTAAGCTACTTAAACAGTGTTCGCGTAAGAGATTTCGTCAACGCAATTGACGCGCTGCATCGTTCGTTCGATAGGAGCACGCTGAACTCCATGGCTCTGGTCCAGGACAACAAGGAATATCAGTATTCAGCGCTGAACTTGGCTATTCTGCACGCTCAGTTCAACCACACCGAGGAAGCACTTGCAAGTCTCAAAGAATGCATCATGCTGGCCCAAGAGAATAGCGACAAAATTTGCCTACAGCTCGCACACGCCTGGCTCTGCCTTCTAGATGCCAGCAAACCGCAGTTCTCAGAGAAGAACATTGCCAACAAGGAACTGATAACTCTGGTACATTCAATTTCCCTTGGAATTCAATCGCTGGTGAAATCATCCGCCGCAACTGGTTACACGCCGGCCAAACTATTCGAGGTCCTGCTCAAGAGTGACATCCTTAATTGCCAGACATCCATGATAGACTTGATTGCCAATGGCATCGCAGAACGAGCTGCTCTTTGGGCCCTGTATGGGAAGAATGAGGTTTCTTCGCTTTGCTCGCAGCTGTTGTTAAACTCGGATCTCAAATCTCTCGGCAAAACCTACAATGGCGAAGGAATCTGCCAAGCGCTGTGCTCCCTGATCGTCTGGTTGGCACTCCAAGGCGAGTTCAATCTAGCGCTGATTATCCTGAAGCACACCAGAGAACGATTCCCGCGCTATCCATTGTCAAAATCGTGGATGGTTGTCGATTACTACATCAGTTCGATACAGGCCATTTTTCGAGGCGAATGGACCGATGCTAGTAACGCATGCTACCAACTCTACACCTTGGACAAGCATCTGTCTCTACTACAACGAGCCTATTTGGCACTGGCTCGTCTGAACATCACTTCAGCTGACCTCTTACTACGTAAGCTACTGGATGACGACACAATTGAGCCCCTCACAAGGGTTCGTGCCCTCCTACTATCCGCCCACACGCTTACCCTTTCCCCAGCTACGACCAAAATGGAAGTGGTCAACGTCCTTAACGAAGCCCTGGCGATCGCCAACAAAAACTATCTAGACTACGAAAAGGCTCTCATCGAAATGCACTTTGCACACGTCCTGCTAACGATGAAGCTGCCGCATCAAGCGCTGAAATCGGTCAAAAGTTGCCTGGAGAATATCCTAGCCAACGGTGGCATCTACGATAGGGCAAAAGTGCTGTTCCTGTTTGTGAAATGCATCCTGGTAGTGGAGCAGAAAGCGGTCAACAAAATTTCCAAAATCGGCAAATGTTTACCGATGCTGGAGCAGGCGGTGGAATACTTCCAGAAGCTGGAATGCTACGTCAAGGTAAAGGATGTGTACATTTTCCTGGCCTCGTTCTACAACGAGGTCGAGATGAACGAAGAACGGAACAAGTACGCCTATAAGTACCGACTAGTCGAGGAGCAGTACCCGACGGCGCGTGAATATTTAAATTTATTCTTCTAATATCGAGATTAATATTGCTTGAAAAAATATGACATTGAGCAACTCATTTGGTCCGAAAAAGTCATGCACGGATTAGCTGATAGCGCTTACTTACCTTTGGCGAAACGCGAACACTAGTCACTCCATACTTGTGGCCGAGTAAAGGCGAAAAAGGTTCCTCGCAGAACCCGTTCCCGGCTAACCAACGCCACACTCGTACTGTTTTGTCACTGAAATGAAACAAAATTTGTTCATCGATCAAACCAAAAACTGTTTATTCCTGTTTCTTATTTCAACCGAGAGCTTTCAAAAACAACCCTGAAAGAGATGGCATGAGCTACCTAGTTCGATACTTATTATCAAACCTTCCAATTATTAGACACTAGCTGAGTGTGCCCGGCCTTGCTAGGGATTCAATATTCCCCCCTATTCTGCGAGTCACGTGACTCTCTCTCACCGGTGAGGTGACTCTCTGTGCAAATCAAATGGAGAGTAACCTCACACGAGGTGACTATTGCCACCTCACCGGTGACAGAGAGTCACGTGACTCGCAGAATAAGAATTTATGAGTTGATGCGCCGAATTAAAAAAAACATGCTATATTGTACGTAGTCCCCCTCCTATCTAAGGGGCTACCTCCTATGACCTCCACATGAAAAATTTGGTTCCATATGCTTGATTAGTTCTCGAGTTATGCAGAAATTTCTGTTTCATTTGTATGGGAGCCCCCCATGGGAGGGGTCTCGAACCATCATAAGAACCTTTTACGGTATTTTCCGAGTCTATAAGGGTCAGACAGACAGACAGAAATTCATTTGTATGTATATATTGTGCGACTATGCGACTAGACTACCATGCGCCTATCTTAAAGTCATTGTTTACATTTGGCACATAGGCCCTTTCCACATGTTGCTCTAGTTACTAGCTCGACTAGCTCCCTCTATCATACGTCAAAACAAAACCGATAAAGGTTAGTGCAATGAACAGAAAGTAAAGAGGTTATATCCAAGACACGACCGTAGATTTGACGTAGGATTACGAAAGGTAGTTTTGATGTCACAGCAAAAGTATAGTAGGTATATATTAAATTGATTTCTTAACTCGTTATCAGTGAAAAAGTTCGAAAGGTTGAAATTTGGAAGCAATTTGAGAGTTCTGTTTGTGAGGTGCTCTGTCGATGTCTATGTAGTACAAGCCAATCCTGGACGATATGTCTTGGATACAAGCTCTTACTCTTTAGTAAACTCTTTTATCAGTCATTTGTGGTCCTGAAAAGGAACGATGGGTTGAAGCTTAGAAGCCAGTTTAGAACAATGCTGTAGAAATGTTCTTGGTGATGATAGAATGTCTTGCTTAAAAATTTCCAATCGCGAGATATCCGCGATAAATCATATAAATTCGAGATTGTTTTGATTTTTCTAGCGTCCTGGAGAAAACTTTGCGAAGTGTTTCTGGTAATTTGACATGGTCATGTGGTATTCGGCCATTGCGAGAATTTTTATGTAGGGGATGGGATGGATGTAATTTAGCGCCTAAATGCCCCTAATTTCGGCTCATACATATACTCAGCAATCGACTAAATTTTCAATAGCGACCAAAAATATCCATTAGTACCGTCCCAATGACGCGTTCATCTAGGTAAAATTGATAAATAGCAGATTAGGGTATTCAACACGGATGCAGCTGACGAGTTGTATGTTGTTTGGAACGAGGGTGACGTACTCGGCATACATGACCCACAGCGGCTCACGACGAGCAACTCAATCAGATCAGTGATTGAGGGTAAGGGCAGCCATGATAGCTAGCTGCTTGCGAGGAGCCTTTCGTTGTGTATTGGAGAACATCACCACTCACCACACACTGAATGAACAGCGTTCGGTGAGACAGGATGAAATTCAATTTTAAAATTTGTGTCAAATAGTTGAGCACGTTTCTTGGGAACCTTCTGGTCTTAGAGTTACCTCTATGGTTATATCAACAATCAATACGAAGCTATCGATTTTAAATTGGCTCACTACTTGACTAGCCTATTGGTCCCAAGCAAATCGATTAACGTATCCCATCCTAATCGAAATTATTATTATTTCGGGACCTTCTAGTCTTAAACCCTTAAACGCTGTACAGACTGGAGAGTTATAACATGTTATAACGGTTGTCAAATAATTGCAACACAGAAACCACCATCAAGATAGCGCTATAACATGTTATAACTCTGTAGTCTGAACGTACTATAAGACCAGAAGGTCCCGAAGAAACGAGCTCAATTTTTTGGCTCATCTCTGGTACTACTTCGGTCCCAAGCTAATCGATGCACCCCTCGAAACATGGGAAAATCCGAGGGGAAATTGTGTTTTTCTGTGCTTTTCTACGCACACACTGAGTAGATAGAAAAAAGATTGGTGACGATTCTGAAGTTTTACTGCAAAAATATTATGCCCGATGCAAGTAGCTGCGAGAAATGAGTAATGCGGTCAATTTTGGTTTTTTGAAATAGCATCCCCAATATGTTGCCGAAAGACGTAATCCTACGTCAAAAAGTAGAAGGGTCTGTGCCTAGGAGCACGAACGGAAGCTTGACGTTGGACCGCTAGTGTAAGGAACAATTATGTTGATCATTTAGTTCTTAACTCTTTCCGTTTTTTAATTGGTGGAAAAGGGCCGGTTGTTTTTCAAATGGTGGCCACACCAGTGTAAGTCGGTGCAGACCGGATGACGGCGGCCTAGTCATGCTGCCTACTGCGGAAAGCCTTTCCTCGGGTCGATGTGGGTGCTTTCGTCGTCGTGTCGTCTTCGTATTGGTGCGATGCGTGCTGTTCCACTCATACGTCGTGTCCGACGCTGATCCGTCCGTCGCTCGAAAGCAAATGACGAATCAACGATTTGGCAAGCGTTTTTATTATCGCTGCTTTTCTCCTCCCTTCCTTTCATTGGTTAAATGGTGAACGATCAACCGAGCATTGAGCTCGCTCTTGTGAGCATGCGCAATGTGTTGTTTGTTCGATTTGCGCTCTATCGTTGCGTCCGTGTTTGGGATTTTTCGTTACATGTCGGAATTTTGATTTTTTTTAATGTGACCCCTAGTATAGAACCCAGACAACCAGAATGCACGTATATTCAAAGTTGTTTTCCTGATGTACAAACATATATACAAACAAACAAATCGTATAGAATGCAAAGAAATGGCTTATACGTACAAAATTGGAGGCCGTATACATGCAAATTTTTATTTAATTTTAAATGGGTTGATTTAACATCATATACGATTTAATCTGTAATAACACATTCACTTTGAAAAGTCATACGATGTAATCCGATTTGATTTGTGATACAGTACGACGAAAAAATGAATCATCGCATATTGGTCGGAAATTTGCATTCTATACGATTTAACTTAAACATAATGCGATGCATGCCGTTCTTATATGCGATGTTGACTTCAACTGTAGCAATTTACGATACTGTCTGCACATTGTTATACGACTTCTGGTTGTCTGGGAAATTAAAGACGTAGTCCTACGTCAAAAACATTTAAGAGACTGCTTTTACTAAGTGACGGGTTGCGACAGAATTTTGTCCAGGCATCCCCTGCACGGATAGAAAACTCCTTATACCTTTTGGCAAATTTCTATTACTGATTATCCATAAAATGTATAAGTCAACTAACAAGCAGACACCTTGCAAAAAGTTAATGAAGATCATGTGTCAAATGAAACGTATAAGCGGACCTATAGGACCTATGTGGGTTGTCTTATGGAATGTATAAGGCTGATGTTTTGGCAAAAATGTATAAGTGAAACACATGGATAAAATAATTGATTTTCGTTTCGTGTGGTACTCCCATAGACTAACTCTAAGACCTAAGACCCTAAAACTTGCTCGATCTTTGGCTCTGGAAGTACCTGACCTTCGGTCCCAAGCTAATTGAAGCACACCTCGAAACGTAGGAAAATCCACGAACCACTCATTAAACTCTGTAAAATTTATTTGAGGCGAATCAAAACAAACACGAACTTTGACAGATCCTACCGTATGCGTGAGAATGTTTGCACCATCGTACAAATAAGGTTCCCGTTCCACCTGTGCATACAATGCCTTGGTTTTCTTTGCATGCACGTAACCTATAGCGCATACCGTAGTAGCATAGAGGTAACTCTAAGACCAGAAGGGGGCATGAAGTAGTTCGCCTCCTCGTGGTGTTTCTGGAAACGTTAATTATCGAACCCAAGGGATAGATATTGCGGCCAACCGAACTACAGCAGAGTAAGGACGCTGGAGCCCCATCCAGCTCGTCCCAGGAGGTCGATAAGCCCTGCACAAACCCTCGTTGTGCAAAGGCAGGAGTGACACCGGGTTCTTAGAGTGCTTAGCACACGCAGCTGGTAAGCGGTCATATCTGTCCGGTTTGGCCCTGGACAGTTGGCTGGCTATCACGTCTGCTCTAGAACTCAGGCGAACAATTAACAGCGAACAACAAGAGGAAGGCTCTGCACAGCTGCTCACTGTGCAGTAGCGAGTGTCACGTCTGACACACCACCAGTGATGCGCCATAGCGCAACCGGCCCCCTCCCATGATGTAATACTTTCGGACGGTTCCGGGGAGGGCAAGGGCCTAGAGCACAGGGTAAGGTTTAGTGGGTCGGGAGCGCTACTTCTCCCATCCCCACACCCTGAGTTATCTTCTCAGGTGTCTGGGAGTTTCCGCCGGTTGGTAGTAGGCTGTGTATAAAAGAAAATGATTTACTTAGTTTGACAGTTGCACCATGACGAAGTGGCAGCGTATTCGTGATTTGTTCCACGCGCAAATGTCGCAAAAAGACATCCCTAATAAAAAATTACCACAAACGAACGATAATCCAAATCATTGAACAATTCCACAAATGGTTTGGATGATACCCCGAACACGTCGTTAAGCAAATTAACCATACCATTTTTATTAGGGATTTCAATCGCTGTGGGAGTGTCCCGGTGGACCGTCAAAAGGGTTTTAGACCGAGAAAAGAAAGGACAACTAGCCGCGAAGGTGGCCACAGGTCGTCCGAGGTCAGCTCGGGTTCCGAGGGTTATCGCTGCTATCAAAAGGAAGATTCGGGTGAATCCAGTGCGTTCAATAAAGAAAATGGCAAAGGAACACGGGATCAGTGACTTTACGGCACGGAAGATCGTAAAGGAAGATTGCGGGCGAAGTCGAGGGCACGGAAAAAAAACTCACATGATTACCAACCGCATCCGGGAGCTACGAGTCGAACGATGCAAGAAAATCTTGAACTTCCTTAAGCGAAAAAATCCGGTAATCCTGTTCACCGACGAGAGCATGTTTACCGTCGATCCCGTATCAAATTCCAGAACCGACCGCTGTATTAGTTCTCTTCCGGTAAAAGACGTGACCGACGAGCACAAGAACGTGTATCTGACCAAGCATCCTGCTAGCGTTATGGTGTTTGGATTGGTGGCTTCCGATGACAAAAAAAATGGACCCGGTGTTCATTCCAGAAGGCGACAAGGTCAAAACGGAGGTCTACATCGGGATTTTAAGTAATTAAGTATGTTCTTCCGTGGATCAAAGAATAGTACGGTCCGAAGCCAAATGTTGTATGTCAACAAGATGGGGCTCCGTGCCACACCTCGAACCGCACTCAGAAGTGGTTGCAGGAACATCTTCCGTTCTGGGCGAAGGAGATGTGGCCGCTATCCAGCCCCGATCTTAATCCGCTGGATTACTCAATATGACGCGTCATGAAGGTCAACAAATCTCACACTAGCGAATCAATCTTCGAACAATCTTCTTTCATTTGTCGCATCTACTTGCATCGCTCATCAATTTTTTGCAGGAAATCTTCAGAATCGTCATCAATCTTCTTTCTATCTACTCAGCGTGCGTGCAGCTAGCCACAGCAAAACACAATCTTTTTTGCATCGTAGATAGAGTCGTCCCCCTCGATTAGAACCTGCCGTGCATTCCGGAAGCGTGTGGAGGCCGTAATTGCAGCAAGTGGATACTCGATCGATGATTATCATAGTTTAAGACTCTGAGAAACATCCTCCTTTGAATAAATAAAAAAACTCGAAAACGGAATTTTTGAGAATTTTTTTAATTTTGACATTGCTCAATATGGTGCAAACATTATCACGCATACGGTAGTACGAAAATGGGGTATGCTTATAGGTGTACTTAGGACCAATAGGCTAGTCAAGTAATGAGCCAATTTAAAATCGTAAGTTTCGTATTGGTTGTTGATTTGTTTATTAATTTATTTATTTGATAGGGCTCATTCGAATTAACTTTACAGAGCCGAATATTCTTGTTAATTATACAAAACATCGTAAAACTAGTCCAAAGGTACAACACTATAAACACTTTATCCTCCGCTATTCAATAAACCTCCTTCATAAGAAAGGAATCCATTTCCAGTGGTTTCAATGTACGGCAGTATCGTCAACGGGAGTTAGAGCGCTTCCATTGCAGCAATGGACGCAAAACGTGTTCGCATCGACCGGAAGAACTGCTGATGAAGAACAATCACCCCTATTCTGTATTTCGTTTCGAACGAAATTGTCATACAAAAAAAAAATTTTGTATGAGAATGTCGTTCGAAACGAAATACAGAATAGGGGTGAATGAGGAGGAACGCACAATGGTTGCAACCGCGTAAACAGACACGTGACAAACATCGAGAGTGGCCTGCTTCTGTCGACCGCCGAGTGAACTCTTGGTAATCCTCTGTGCATCGTCTCAAAATTGCGTGCCATGATGTCGCCACGCTCTTCGAATCACACCTTCCAAGGCGATATTAAATTATCATCCAACAACCAACCAATCATCCACTTATTGGATTCTGAAGCATCTTTGATTTGAATAGGCTCGATGCTTCCTCATCCTTTCGTTTTATAACGTCCCCACTGGGAATTAAAGCTGACTCCCAACTTAGACGTTACGTTACTCTATTTAAATATGAAATAAATTGTACAAGGTCCTGTCTTGAGACTTGCCGAATTAAATAAAACAAGTGAAAGTGATTGCTTTAAAGACTTTCAAACAATCCAGAAAATAAAAATAAAGAGATAGAGAGGTTTTCAACATTTTCAGAAATTATGAAGTTCAAATTGGCCCATCGCTAAAAATCTGCTATTTATCAATTTTATCTAGATGAACGCGTCATTGGGACGGTACTAATGGATAATTTTGGTCGCTATTGAAAATTTTGTCGGGGCATTTAGGCCGACATTACATCCATTTCCCCTATAATGAAAATTTGAAGAAGCACTTACTTACTTACCTTTCCATCCCCTTGGCTACGTCCATGATGACCATGTCTAGCTAGTTGTACCCTTTTTTTTAATCAAATACAAATTATCTATTTTTATAATGTTGACCATAATTAGTTCATAATCACCGGTCAACGCCCGAAATCCACTTGTCTGAATGAATAATTCTTGTAATCGTCCTCCTAATTACGTGGTTCGATAACTCAGTCGTAGCCATAGACATGGTTTACTCATCGCATTTGGGGGGAGCAGTCTCAGTTTGGGGTGACTTCCGGAAGCTTAAATTGATGGCCGGTGCGTCTACGCTGTGACATATACATTTATAACCACATCATCCCCACGTTTTCTCTCTTCTATTAGATTCTACTTGATAGAATCCTTGATATAAGGTGACAACCGATATCGGTGCAATGATGAGGGACATTATAGATATTATAATTCATGTGCGACTGATTGACTACCCCTGAACTACCCATCAATTGCGATGATGCCTGATGAAAATAGAACAAAAGTCGGCATATTGTAATATCGATCCTTTGCGTTCTGAGCTGGAGGGGGGGTATTTTTAAACATTGTATCAACTGCACCCACGTGAAGATTTTCTCACTTTACAAAGTAATAAGTTTTATAAGGAGTAATTAGGGAGGAAGTTATGTGAGATACTGGGCAGGTGCAAATCAAAAGAAAAAATCACCAACTTACGTTCCAATCCAACCAACTGTATCGATCGGACACAATAAAAGAATGCCTGTTGCATTAGGGTGGGTCACTTTTACAACCCCCTGCTATGTATTGAGATCCCCAACAACTGTGCCAAATTTGAGCGTATGTGGTTACGATCTGGATTTGCGGGAGAACTTTAAAGTTTGTATGGTAAAATATATGGGAAACGGAACATTTGCTTGTCAAAAATTCAAACATTGATCAGTTTTTACCAAACTGGAAAAGCTATGCCAAACAACTTTGTCCAAGATCGCAAATTGATTCGACTGCAGTGCAAAAAGTGATTAACCTTTTACTTTATTGAATGTGGTCCGCCATACAAAGTTGACCCACCCTACTGTTGCATTATAGATGATAATGCACCTGATAGTGGCCTGATATTTGATTCATATTTGATATGTATGCCTTGCTCTTGTACGTCCTCGACATTGCAATTACCTTGACCCGGTGACGAGTAACGAATTTCCGAAAAAGTCAACAGACGTGACGTCACTGTTGTGGCTGGTTAGCTTCTGCAGAATCTTCGTCCGGGAACCACTCATCTTTTGGCAACTATGTTCTTCGTTAATATACTCACTGGCACTGGAGCGTTTGAGAAAGATTTACACAATGACGCGGTACTTGTTGATGAAGCAATTTTTCCTACTTAATCTTATCGCAAAAAAAAAACGTCGCAGATAACAATAGAGAATGGGGTTGTATTATACCTATTTGCTTTTTGTCAAGTGGTTCGTTGCTTATGTTTTCATTCACCAAGTCGGCGTCATCATCATCATCATCATCTTGATGTAGTTCAAACAAAGACAGGATACACTTAGTCCATTAAAAAAAACTCGACCGTCCTCGTCCTGGAGCAAGGGCGGAACTGGAAAAAGTTTCCACATGACATCACTTCGCTCCACAATGCAGTGACGACGAGAGGCGTGTTTGTTTCGACACAATCTGAGCGACGAGAGAGACCGAAAAATTCACATTCAAACTTTAAAAGAATGTAATTGCATATTGCATTGTAAGTAGTTCACCCATACCTACTGTTCACATTTACACTAACAGTAACAGCACTTCTCTATTCACAACTACGACTGTCAATGGGACGAGGAAATGTTATGACGTCGTTGCTCGACTGCAAGATTCGTATCACATGAACTGATACAACACATCAGACATCTAGCCTAACTGGAACTACTAAAGTCAATCTATTGGTCTTGCGTACGACGTAGGTATCAAATCGTATAGAAACATGTTGCGTAATAAATAAACTCCTACAAGCTATTGTCGTCGTCGATTTACATATCGATGCTACTCCCTATAGGTAGGACATCGGGTACATAAAAAATACAGCCTGTAGTTCAAGGCGACAACCGAGGCGGTTCATGGTTTACACCTGTTGGCCGCTAGTAACCAAGATGTTTGTTTACATACGGATGTACAAATGTTGGTGTCGTATCCTAGCATGTATTCAAACGTGACATGCGCGTGTTGGTGGAGGTTCTATTTTCTCTCCCTCCCTGCAATTTCTGTTGTTTATTTGTTTTGTCTGAGAGTTCTGTGTTACACGTGGTTCCTGTGGCACGGTGGGAAATTCTAGTAAAATTTGTCTTGCTGCTACTTGATACTATATGGTCTACAATTCGTTGAATCGAGCTTACTTAAATAGCCTGGGCAGCTTCAGCCAACGTGAAAGACTTTCATCCTGGCGGCTGCTTGCTTTTGCGTTCTTTCAGATAAGGCTGGCAATGAATTGAACTTTATTGTTTTTCTCAATACTCATCTCAAATGAAATTGCATCTTCGAAGTCGACTTGTTATTGTATTTTCAGTTATTATAATTTAGGTCACTTCAACCGTTAGGATTCGGAAAAAAAAGGATCACACAATCGTCCGTACTCCAGTTCTTGTTTCGCTCTCTCTCCCTCTCACTCCGTGAGGAATCTGAATCCTCACGCTTAGTTAAACTTGCCATTCTCCGCGTTTCAGGTTCCATTTTAAGTATCCCCCTTCTTCTGTTTGAAACGATTTCTTGCCGTCAGATTATCGACTGCCGCCTCCCGAATAACATAAAAGTTGATTATTGATCAGCTGGCCACAGTTTTCCTTCCCTCGTTTACGATTGACCGCTGGTTTAGTTATTGTGTGCGCTCGCGCATACTAGTTAGACAACTTCACTGGTACGGAACAGTCAATGTCCCAGTGCGTCTTAAGACTAAGTGGAAATTTTTGTTGAAAAACACGGAGGGAATGGGACAAAAAAAAATGAACACAAACGAAAACCGAAATGTTGAAAACGGAGTTGTGGGTGGCCTCGAATTCGCTCCCCTTAGGGTGTAAGTCTCTTCGGGTCACGCGGGAACATTGAGGTTTTACGGATGTTGTCCAGTCCGAGGTACAGCATGACAACACGCTCCATACCGATGCCGCCGCCAGCGTGCGGCGGACAACCGAAGCGGAACGCTTCAATATAGGCGGCGATTTTCGAAATATCTGTTGAATAAGCGAACTTGCGTTAATGAATGATTCTTTGGTGGAATTTCAGCAAAGTTTCCGTACCGATTGCGTGGTGCTTGGCACGCTCTACCAGATATTCGGGATCGTGGATACGTTGCGCACCGGACAGGATCTCTTCGCCTCGCATGAACATGTCATACGAGTTGGAGTACTTCGAGTTGTTGGGATCCGGCATCGTGTAGAACGGTCGCACCGCCAGGGGGAATTTGTCGAGAATGTAGAAATCGGTGTCATACTTTGCCTTCACCAGCCTGCCGAGAAGTTTTTCACTCGGTGTCGATAGATCCTCCTCGTCGTCCATTGTGACGCCGGCTTCCCGCAGCATGGCGACTGCGTCAGCGAATTCCAGCTTGAGGGGTGGTTCCAAAAATTTGAACGCCTCAACGTTGTACTGCTGACCGACGGCGGCAATTTCGCGGCCATAACTGAAACGGGTAAAAGGGAATTTAGTTCCAACTTAGACACTAGAAAAAGGATCATCGAAATTTGAACATACTTATCGCGCAATCCCTTGAAGATCGCCGTAAACGTATTGCCGATGGTGTCCAACACCTCATGGTAGTGATACTTGAACGCCATCTCCAGATCGAGTCCTACGAATTCAGTTAAATGTCGGTGCGTGTTGGAATCCTCCGCGCGGAATACAGCACCCACCGTAAACACCTTGTCGAAGTCAGCTGCGATTGCCATCTGCTTGTACAGCTGAGGAGATTGGGCCAGATATGCAGAGTCTGTTCCTCAAACAGTGCCGGTTATAATTCGTCTGATAATTCGTCAAACCTTATCATCCTTACCTTTGAAGTAGCTGACCGTAAACACATTAGCACCACCCTCACTCGCAGCGGAAATAATCTTCGGTGTGTGAATCTCGGTGAATCCCTTATTCGCCAGAATGTCACGGAACAGTTTGCACACACCGGCCTCCAAGCGGAAAATCGCCTGATTGGCAGGCGTTCTCAGGTCCAGCACACGGTTGTCCAATCGAGTGTCCTGATTGACGCGGATTTTTAGCGCCTCCGGATCGTCGGATTTCTCCGGACGCGCAGCATCTTCAATTTGCAGTGGCAGTTGGGCTTTCGCGGCCGACACCAAATAGATCTCTGCCACGTGCAGCTCCAGGTTCTGCTCGGTACACGATTCGATCTTATTTTGCACCGGAATCAGCTTCGCTTTGATGTCGATGATGCTTTCCCGTGGTACACTCCCGGAAAATTTGACCATCTGCTTCGAAACGGTACTCTCGTTCACGGCTAGCACACACTGCACGGTGCTACTTTGCTGACGGAGCACCAGGAAACACTGCTTGCCCTTGGCACGTGACGTATGCACTCGACCTCGCACCCACACCAGTGCATCCTTCCCGCAGGTGGACAGGTCATGCACCATTGTAAAGTTACGCTCGGCATGCTTGGCCGTACTCTGGATCATCTTGGTCACGCCGTACAGACCGACCGAGTAGTCTTTGCTCTCGTCGCCGCCCGGTTCCTGTTGGTCCTTCTCGGCAGCTGCCGCTGCTTTGTGCTCCGCTTTCTATACGGAACATGTTTATAAGTCGGGTTAGTATGATAAATGTGTTGATGAAGACGGGTATTGGTAATACCTTAGCGGCCTTGACGGCATCTTTGGCTGCCTTCTTTGCGGCTTTCTTCGATTGCTCGGTCTCCTCGATGATGGTGTTCTCAACCATGGTTGCGCGCGTCGCTGGGAATCAAGTTCCTGTGAAATAAGAATGATCTATGATGAATTTCGGCGTAAAGGTTCGCGTTTCACGAATGCTTCGTCGAACTAGACATCCCCCCTAATCACGGATCAGTCCGAATATTATATATGTTGGTAGATATCTGTTACAGTATATCTACGTGCAAACGGAAAAACGCAACATCCCACGCGAAGAAGCTTGAATGAAAAATTATCTACGTCACGATCGACACATAACTACTTCAGTCAGCTTAGTTTTCCCGGTATTTTCGTATTTTGGATTACATTGCAGTCTAGTCTGTGATTTATTTTAACCGTAAGTCGTTCGACATCAAAATTGAAAAACGACCCAGACACCCAACAAAAACAATGATCTCAACAACAACCATCAAAATACCTTGGTAAATACCTGTACCTATATAAAATTAATGGTGATAAGATCCCCCAAAAAGGTACGGCAGAGCTGCGGCTTACATAATGTTGCTGCTGTGTTGGTGTTTTGCCAGACGTACAGACGTTGCACATACAATAATTTATTCCTGATACAGGACCAGGAATGGGATGATCAGACTGAGGGAAAGAGAACCCAGTAAAAAAGTTGTAACGTTGCAACCAAACTTCCTAATGTTGCATCATTTTTTACCACTAAGGAAATTTTAACTTAAAAAGGTACCCTTATCAACAAAAGAGAGCCACGAAGTCAAAAACCTCAGATCATCAGTGTTTCGACAAAATAAAGCACTCATTGCACTTTGCCGGACGGAATCGCTATGCCTCGTTGTCGTCGATATTAAACGAGCAGACGGGAAAGTTGGATTCTACTTCCTATTTAACCTAAAGTGCCGTGAATCAGGCTCAAATTTCGCCGGTTTTTCAGGCTCACCTAAATGAAGTTTGCTGGTATTCTACAGCTAAGGCGTAATCCTACACTTTTCCACCAAATCTGATCACTTTCAAAGGGGTTTTATCGCATAATAATCACTTTTCACTTCTACCTAATCAACCGGACCGCACTATTGCCCGCAACTTCTGTGCAACTACACGTCGCGAATTTCAGGTTTGGATTGAAAACTGCACCGACGGAGAAGAAACTGACAGAGCGTCTGTCAGTTTGAACGCATCAAGATATTGTTGAAAAGCAGGGGTGTGACAAAAGCAGGCCTTTTGGTAACCACAGTGCATGCTCGATTATCCGACCATCACAGCAAAATGCACTGCTATAACTAAAAAAAACATGTCTTTTAACTGAAAGTCTGCTATTGTCGCTAGAGTTGGAAACCGAAATAACCCACTCTCGGTCTGTACGTTAAACATAACGTCGCATCAAGTGCGCTGCATTCTTTGAATTATGCACTACACGAAACGAAAATTAATTATTTTATTCATGCGTTTAACTTATACATTTTTGCCAAAACATCAGCCTTATACCACAAACGAAGTTACAGACGACTTTCTCCGAAGAAATGAATTAAAATAATGTGGTTCTCTGTAATAGAATTTTAGTCCACCTTCCGCCCCTCACCGCCAGGTTCGCTAGTATTTTTGTGTTGAATTAATTCAAGTTGGTTTTGTGTGCAATGATCTGGCAACTCGTGTCCTTGCTCGTGTTGACGGGGTGCTGTTTTCTCACTCATCGAAGGAAATTTTGATTAGAGTGAGAAAGTAAGGAACAGTCAGCGCGGGAGCCGTGTGCGTTACTATAGGTGCGGCAGAAGGAATGTAGTCGACTCTGTCGTTCTCACGGTGTTCTTACGCATGATCCAACGTTTCGTCACACTAGATTATGCATAAGAACGTCGTGATAATGCAAGTGCTGGCTTGTTTCCTTCTGCCTCACCAATCACATTGATCACAGCACATACGATTCTCCGTCGGTTCGTGGTGCATTGTGCATTCTTTGTGCCATACCACCAGTCCAAACACTAGTGGTGGTAAGCTCCAACCGGTATTATCCTCGGATTAAATCCCGATCAAGAATGTCCGGCTGGTTTGATGTCGACATCAGAGTTAATCAACATAATTCTGAGCAAACATTTTTCAGATCATACAAACAGGGACGGTATTAAAAGTTAATCCGAGTTGGAGCTTACCGCCATAGAAGTTTTGGAAGGTTCTCCCTCAGTACCTGTAAGCAGTGTGATACCAGCTGACATTCGCATGGGTAGAGAAATCCGGAACATTTTCTCACTTTTGAGCATCAACGTCAACCCGGTCTCGAATCGCATTTTCGCTTGAGGTGGCACCGTTGGCAGTAATCTATTGCGCCGTGGGAAAGACCTGCTTAGTGCACTAGTGCTGGAAAATTCTGCAAGTTCGTCATTAAAATTAAATCAACTTTTCTTCGCTGTAACGTACTCCGGATCAGACTCGCTGGTGGAACGTTTTCGTGGGACCCAAAAAGCTTCAGTTTGAACTGCTTTCCAAAAGATTTCTGGGCAGGCGTCTTGGGACGCACGATCTCCACCGAGGCATCCGTTAGCGTGTTCGTGTCGGAGCGGATGACCTGTTTGATCGGCTGCAATTCTACCATCGATTTTCGGCCCTGCTTTTTGTTTAACTTCACACGATAGTTGAAATCGAACACGGTCGACGATCCGGCGGAGGATGCTTCGTCTTCATTCTCCGAAGAAGTCAACGATTTGATCTTTTCCGAGCTGAGCTTCTCGAGCCTTACGACCGGTTTGACTCTAAGTAATTTTTCGACGGAAGTTCCTCGTGGCAGTGGAATCTTCTTGACCAGTTCCTCCAGACTGATTTCTTCGCTTCGAAGAAACGAACGAGGAAGAACTAGATGAAGACGTGGACAGCCGTCATTTCGACGTTGGTTTCTTTCGTGTAGAAATCAGATCGGAATCGCTGTCGTCACTGTCTATTGCGGTTCGTCTTTTCTGAGATTTGCGTTTGGTCGTCAATGCAACTGACTCTTCAGAATCTGAATCATCCGATTCAATCTGACGTCTGCCACTAGATCGGCCCCTAGAACTCCCCTCTCTGCTATCGTTACCGGCTTCCGCCCATCTTGCTGCTTCCACTCTTCGGGAAGCCTTGGCTAGCTTCAAAACCGCTTCCGGCGTCTTTCGGGCAATCGGATGACAAAAGGTGAAAACATAGTTCTTCGAGGGAACCTCCATGCACTGATCTTGGCGACAAGTCGAACCGCACGTTGCACAAAGGATCAGATCCCAACGCTTGCAATCGTCGTAATCTCGCCCATACCGACAGCGACACTCTTCAGCGTCACACTCCGAAGGACGTTCCAACTGATCGTTGAATACATTCGGTTCCAGCTCCCACGAGGCATCCTTCGAACAATTAAAATAAAATATTCAGTATTCAAATACCGATTCACCCACCTCCGCCGCTTCACTTAATTTTCCGGAATATAAATGCCACGCTGATGGATCTGCTGACTAAAGTCGTCCTTGTTGCACAAAGGGCAATTGAAATAGTACCTCGCCGATTGGGCAAACTGTGCCACGTAGCTCCGATGGAACCAGCCATTCTGACAGCACGGGGCACGAATCGATTCCAGCTTCCTGTACGGTCCCATATCATCGTAGCAAATCCCACAGGCTTCGGTCTAGGAGTGTTTCACCTTATCCACCAGCGCTACGTGCTTATCGCACCACGACTGGAACGTTTCCACGTAATGCGACAGGCACTCATTCTGCATCCCACAAAGCGTATGGAATGAACGGAAGCAACACCAAACGTTTGCATACCGTTCCTTGCAGATGTAACACTTTTGTCCTCGGATACGAGCTTCCTCATTTCTGATGTCCTCCTCCATGAATCCGAAGATTCCCTCCTCGTCTTCAGGTAACAAGGTACACGTAGCAGGTATAATGACTAGTTTTGCCACGTCTAGTAGCCCGGTCCAGAATAGAGCATCGCACCATCGTACCGCAATCATGCTCAAACGCGTGACATACAGCATCTTTAGCCGAAATAAATAATAAATTGAACAAAATTGGTTTCATCCGATCCTCCTTCATTCTCACCTTCAGCACGTCGATCGATTCGATGGATTTCGGCATGATTTTGGAGTAAATTTTCCTCCTTCAGATCGCCCTCGTCGAGAGCTTTCAGTTCCTCTACGGAGGAGCAAATGCATACCGAGTATGGCCACCCGAAAAAAAAATAATTATAATAAAATAACGAAATTACAATGATTTTTACGGTTGAATTTCGGGCACATTATAAATTTATTGTTAAATTATTGGACGGGTGAAAAAATAAATTTCGTTTTAAAAGATACAATTCTCAATGAAAATTAATTTGATGAGATCAAATTTGTTCGAGAAAAATCAGTTTTTTTATTGTTAAGATGCTTAACAACCCCCCTTTTTTACTGTACATTTCTCATATACCATGATTTTCGTTTTGATTTTATGATAATCAACAAAAATCTCCATTCAAAATCATTATATTTTTATTGGATTTTTTTACGGTCGGGTCCTGTTTGGCGTCCAACAACTTGATATCTTCTCGGTCGCGAATGACCATGGCTTTGGTTAGGAGCACCGACTGATGAAATCTTTAGCAACAATTGCCGCCAAAAAGCGCGAGTCATTGACAGCTCAACATTGTTTACTTGTAAGCAAATGTTAACCCGATGTGTTTACTCCTAATCATTTTGGCCTAAGGTCTTTCATTATACAAAAGAAGTGCAGATAACAATGAACACAACATAGTGACATGCAGTTTGACAACAGGCTCTCCCTTTCAATTTTCGTTAGAGAAAAAGAGATAACAGGCGGTGCCCCAATAGCATCAACTACTTTAAGCTAGTACATATGAGTAGATAGTGTTGCCGTGAGGTACACTCGAAAATTTCAAATGTAAGTGCGTCAAACCAAATTTCGAGCCGCTCCGTCTGTCACTTCGTTTGTGCTTATACATTCCATAAGACAAACCACATAGGTCCTATAAGAATGCATAAAAGGTATGTGTGACCGCTTATATATTTCAATTGACACATGATCTTCATTAACTTTTTGCAAGGCGTCTGCTTATTAGTTGACTTATACATTTTATGAATAATCAGCAATAGAAATTTGCCAAAAGGTATAAGGAGATTTATATCCGTGTATAATGCGCACTAGATGCGAAATGATGTTCAACGTACAGAACGAGAGTAAAATCGATTGTCGTGAGTGAGTTATTTCGGTTTCCAACTCTAGCGACAATATCGGAAACAAGTTTTCAGTTAAATGACATTAAGATAAAGGCCCAAACGCAATGACGACGGAAGCGGAACGGCAACGGCAGCGAAAAAGCCCGATCTGAGTAAGCCTACTTGTCGGATTGAAAACTAGTTAGATCCAAATCGACTTCGGTTAGGCATCTTGATGTCATTAGTGACAACTGTCAAACTTTCCGTTTCCGTTCCGCTTCCGCCCACATTGCGTTTGGGCCTTAAGTTTGGTCATTGCTCCAGTATTTGGCCCTACACAGTAAACAAAAAATGTATATCCAGCTTTCCATGCTCGGTAATGGCGGCCTGTTTGTATGAATAAATGTATCCTTCACTGTGCTTTTTGACACTATCTGGATGTTCGAATTTCAACCCCTTCCCTTTCCCTCTCCCAGGAACAGAAGAAAATGGAACAACATACGCCCTCCAGTTAGTGTCAAAAAGCACAGTGAAGGATACATTTATTCATACAAACAGGCCGCCATTACCGAGCATGGAAAGCTGGATTGATCAGACTACCGGGAACCGGTAATCTGACCGTTTTCAATCTGCACGCCTTGCAAACTAAAAAGTGGTCAAACCAAGAGCTGGTCACTCTACACATTTACTTTGCGCCAAAATTTTTCTCAGTGTGCCTCAAGTGTGCTGCGCTGTGCCAAGAGTGCCAGTCATCGGACTGCCTAAAACAAAAAAATACTATAAATGAACGATAGCCCGAGGGGCACGCAATACAAAGAACCGCCGAAGTTTTTTTTTTTTTTTTTTTTTTTTTTCTTTATTACAGTGACTTTTAGCCACTGGCTGGTTCGTCACTTAATCGGCGCGTTGAAGTTAAAAT